ACTTACCTACATCTGAAATTGCCTCAGATATTTATTTTTTTCTACATATTTATTCTTTACTTGTTTAGTGCCTGTCTCCCTCTAAGAGACTGTAAACTCCTTGAAGGAAGTGATTGGGATGTGTCGTTCATTTCTGTAACCATACTGCCTAGAACAGGACTTAACACAGTGGATATTCCATGAACATTTGTGAAACAGAGGCATTGTGTGAAAGTGTTTTCTGTAAGGAAAGAAGGAAGGAAGGATGGAAAAATGGAAAGGAGAAAAAAAGAAAAAACAAGGAAGAAATAGAGGAGGAAAGAATTATATTCCTAGAAATCTAATGTGGCTCTTCTTTACATTAAACTCGGGGAGCACTTATGCCTATATTCTTGTTACCCTAGTGTCTTTAAGAAAAATGATGAAAATAAATGGCCTGAATCAGAAGACATTGATGCTAGCTCTTCTCTGTCATGGTTCCAATTTACTTATACAGTATTTTCTGGTCTAACAAGGGAACAGGGCCAGATGGGCTCTAATGTTCCATTCTCTACTAAAATTCTGTGGTTCTAAACCTTTAATTCTGAAACGTATTTGCTTTCTATTTCCCTATTTCTAGATACTAAAATGATTATAATGAAGATTTAGATTCAACTTTTAGGTAAAATAGGTTAATTGAAAAATGCATGATAAAATTAATATTTTAACTCAGTTTTAATCTTTATAAATATTTTAAGACAAATACATTGGTTTTATACATTTTTACATTTATGTCTTTTGTACATTAAGTGGTACATATATTATATATGCAATATGTTCTATTACATAACATACTATATATACACACAATAGAGTATATATTATTTATATTTAAATACTAGGCATAATTTTAAAAACTTACTTGATATGTGAAATATATAAAGGTCCTAAACTAAATTTAGATAAACTAAATTCATACAATTCTATCAAGTACATTTGTTCAGATATCTGAACAAGTTTGAATCCAGGCTACAGAAGAATGCTTCCACCCCCTTCCCTGCTGTGAAACTGAATGGAGATACATTTAATGCATGTACTTAAAATAGATTCACCACACGAAAGTGTTTCCAATTCTTCACTGCCTTCCAGCAGCTTCTTCTCTTAACCATCTATATTTAAACATGGGTCAAAAATCATGGGGCCTGAATTTGGGTCCCAGTTTTGACACTATCTTGCAATGGATTCTTTTTACTCTGGTATAATAAGAGTATTCCTAGATCTGTGATTCAAGACCTTTTCATATTTCGAGTTTTAAGAAGCATACCTTGGGATATTTTCATTTAGATGATTTGTTGGGGGAGGGGCAGAAAAGGCAAATATTTGGACAGCAGTGAGAGCTTACTGAGCTATAAATGTGGTGTGTAAGGAATAAAGACACAGATCTACTAGAGAATGGACTTGAGGATATGGGGAGGGGGAAGGGTAAGCTATGACAAAGCGAGAGAGAGGCATGGATATATATACACTATCAAACGTAAGGTAGATAGCTAGTGGGAAGCAGCCGCATAGCACAGGGAGATCAGCTCGGTGCTTTGTGACCGCCTGGAGGGGTGGGATAGGGCGGGTGGGAGGGAGACGCAAGAGGGAAGAGATATGGGAACATATGTATATGTATAACTGATTCACTTTGTTATAAAGCAGAAACTAACACACCATTGTAAAGCAATTATACTCTAATAAAGAGGTAAAAAAAAATGTGGTGTGTAGGACAAGAAAGATGCAGTTCACACACACGCTTACACAGTGCCGTAAAGACTCTCATTTGCATGAAAAGATAAATGCTACCGTTTCCTTTATCTGTGTTATTGGTAAACCAGGTAGCTGATGTTATCTTTGAAAACCATATTCCTTAACTGTATTTCTATTGGGATTCATTGGTATAATTAAGACTTGAATGGTCTGAAATATTTCAGGAAACTGCAGTGAATATTCTTTCCTTTATCTGAAAATGTAGTTTTATTTCATTTGAAATTGTTTTCTATAATTTCCCTCTCCACCCACAAATGACATTCTTTTTATACTTATAGATATACTTACTCATGAGCCTATGAACTGTTAACTACACTTCATAGAAGAGAAACCATAATGCTATCCTGGCACTGAGGGAATCTGATTGGTATCATAAATGGGAACTATTTACTTTTTATTACTATAATGATTTTTTAATAATTTCCACAATTTGAAGTGTGGTTAGAATGCCACTGGTAGTTGAAAGCTGGCAACATGATTTAATATTTTTAACATATGATCTGGTGTTTGCTGTGCTGCTTCAAAATGTTAAATGTCATTATTCATGTTATAATATTATCAATGATAATAAATTAAGCTAAACCAGTGGCAATGAAGTTTTATACCATTATTTATTTTGACTCACTTTGGAGTCCTAGGTTGACCATTGTTTTGTATGAGTTTTCTTATGTGAAATAACATTTTTTCCTCTCTTCTTTGTCATTTACTAGGATGTTTATTCTACTGTTTCTAACATTCAAGGGTCTTTCTTGTATTTCTTTGTATTCTGTTCAGTGGAGCAGAAAATTTGTCTCGGCTTCAATTTTTCTTTTGTTCCCAGAACGTCTCCCCTCCTCCAGTGCTGAAGTGGAAAAATAATTTCCACTCTTGCACCACACAGGTTCAAAGTCTTGTTTTTCACCTTGTTGCTCCCAACAGCAAATTTTCTAACCCACATGAAAGAAGAACACCAAAGCTCTAACCTGGAAGTCTGCAAGGGTCTGAGAACAATTGAAAATAAGTTCCTACAACCAGGATTAGCTCTCAGCGGTTCACTGGACATTCTGAGGAGAGGCGCATGGAAGCCAGTGAGGGCACCCACCTGCTGGCACAGGCATAGGTGGCCCAGCTCAGAAGTCAAGGTCTATTGTCAAGGAGAATGGAGGCAAACTGGAGAAATTGAAAAGCAAGTAGCAAACAATCCAGTAGGCTAAGCCAGGGACTTGGGAGTCTCCTCCCTTCCTCATTCCCTGCATGAGTCATTTTTCCAGTCTGTCCACACCCATTCACCCTTCTTCCATCGGCCTCCACCCTACACGCCCATTCACCCTCCAGGCTGTTGCTACAGGATCTTTCTGAAATGCAAGTCCAAATTTCACCTATCTCCTTGCTGTGTCAACTCAATCTAGATCATCACAGTTTTCAGAGTAAAGTTGAGACCCCTTGGATTAACACAGACCTACTTTTAGCTCATTTGCTGCCACTCTCCTGTAAGTATCCGGCTTGCACTTCTAACAGAAAGGCTCTCAGGTCCACTGTACTTGCCAGGCTCTTTTCTCCCGTGGACCTGGACTCCATTCCCTTTATCTTGCTAATTGCTATACACCTTTCAAGGGACCTGTTAAAGTCATTCCTCCAGGAAGCTTTCCTGACTCTACTCAGGCCCATCTTGGGCTTGCCTTCATCATTTTAGCATTTATCCTTCAGGCAGAATTAATTGGTTTATTTTTCTCTTCAGTAGCCTCTTCCTTAGTAGAGGTATTATCCTTGAGGGTAGGAACTCTGTGTTATCCATTCTTGAATCTCTGGCATAGCAGGTACTTGATGTAGTTGTTGAAATGAATGCTGAATTAGAAGAAAAGAAGTCCTCATAGCTTGGGGTAGCTACCAATTGGCAGATAGAGAATGCCCATCCCTGTTCTCTGAGAAAGTGTCGGTTTCCTTTTAAATTTGCTTCCACTGTGTGTGCACTTGGGTACTTTTCAATGATTAACACTGAGAAGTGGCACCATCTAATTAATTTATTTGTTCTGGAAGGGAGCAGTGCACACTATTAACTCAGTGTTTTGTGGATCTAGCCAAGGGTCGAGAACGCAAGTCTGTTATTAATGCCTCTAGAAGTATTTTTGTATTTTAGCACCTTTCATGATGTTTTTCCTTCTCCTCCTGAAGCTGTCCCCCACCCTCTCGAACACAACCTAACAAACTTGTAGGAAGTACATCGCACAGTAGCTAGCATTTGGTCCTAAATTGTGTCCAAAACATGGAAAAAAAAATGTTTTTAATTAGAATCGTCATTGAACAAGTTATTCCCTAAATCCAAAGGAAGTTCTGCCCCCCCCCCCC